CACCCCGAGGCTTGGGGACCCCCAGTGCAAGCTCTGCTGCTGGTGAGGGGGGACATTTGGTGACTTCTGGGGTTGTGGAGGAGGGACTGGTAAGCTTGCCACTTTCAGAAGTGCAGAATGTAATAATTCAGTTTCCTTTGAGACCAAAGGTACAGGTTTTCCTTGCTAATGTTCGCTTAGCCTTTGGAGCAGTGCATGCGTTTTTGAGATGTCAGAGACACAGGTGATGCTCAGTGGCTTTGGGAGCTGTCATTGCTGTCATCCCACTCTCCCACAGGAGGAGAGGGCAGCTGCCAGGTGGGAGGGTTGTGTGTAAAAATAGGAACAGCACTCCTGTTTTTAGCAACATTGCTTATTTTTTAATTATCTTCAATAAATATGAATGGCACTCCAAATTACGTGATGTGTGAAGATACACAGAGGATTAGTTTTTTTATTGCACTGTCAGACAGTAGTAGCGATGCTCAAACCAAGTAACTGTTGACACCAAGTTTATAATTTTGCATTTAGCAAATAAAATTTTTTATATCATGGTCAGAGATGTGGGGTACATCACAATGTAGGATTTTGCATTTGTACCTATTCTTCTTTCTTGAAAGATCCTCATTATCTAATACTTGTTATAGCAAACCATTGCGGATCTGCTGGCGCTGTCAGGTAGCATAAACCTCAGTGTGTGCATGACACTGGCCCGTAGCAGGAAACATCATGTTCCAAAAACTCTAGGCTGACACACTGTCTGCAGGCATGTGCATCCTCTGCCAAATGGCAGCTGCATGAGGATGTATTCTTCTTAAAAAAATACTTACTCCAATTGGTAAATCAGACGGTTAGTGCAAAGCTGTCTAGTACTCTTGTGGGGAGAGCACAAGAGCACAACTAATTCTGTTCTGTAAACTAGAAATCCTCTTCAAGACAACAGATCTATTGAAGTTTTCTAAGGTGATCTGTTAAAAGTTTTAGCAAAATGTGCAAATAGTGGTTCTGCCTCTGGTGGAGTACCAGAGCTCCTGTCACAAATACATTTGATGTTCCAGATCCTACAAGTAAAGGAGCTGCTTTGCTCTGTTTTTTGCTCGGTCAGTGCTGTGCCCACCAATGGATACTTGGCACATTTAAAAGACCTTGGGCTCTCCGGGTGGCCCCATGTGTGGCTGGAGTCCTTGGTCTGGGCTCTCCAAGGTGCCAGCTGACCACCCAGCCAGGGCTCACCATGCCACAGCTCCATCCCAATGTCCCACAGCCCTTACAGCACTGGCTACCAGTCAGCAGAGTCTTTACAGCTGAAGTGATTTAAATCACTGGTTATGCTCAGGATTCAAATGATAAACAAGGTACTTTCAGTTAAGTAATTTGAACTTTTCCTGAATGAGAGCTCATTCCTGTTGATTAGGAAGGCTAATATAAAACACATCTTGCAGCTATGCACACACTTGTAAAATTTGGCATGGTTATATATTAACCAGAAAATGATACTGTATCTCACAAAGCTGTGCATGTAGTTAGCTCCAGAGTATTTATTCCTGCTTTTTTTCTTCAGAAAAGGTTAGTGACATATTTCTACTTTAATGGTGAGTGCTTTTTACTTTAGACTTGTCCCACATGACACAAGGGTGGAAATTAAAAGTCATCTAAAATATGTTAAACCATGACTTGAAAATTATTGCAATAATATTTATAAAACATGCTAGCCATGTTTAATAATAAAAAGCTTATCAAATTGCATTTTCTTTCTTAATCTACATTATTAGAAAAACCCTCTTAGCTATAAATTAAGACTCTATTTGATACATTTCAATCAACTTTAAACAGTGGATATTACTGTCAAATTGATTTTTAAACATATTTCTTTAAAAAGAGTTTAATCAATTATTAACCACTTTGGTTAAAATTCATGAGATTTCAAACATTAATAAATTCTCTTTGCCTTCTGATTTATGAGCCTGCAGCCTGGCTTGGCTGGCTTCTCCCTGCCCCCCCCCCCCGGGCAAAGTGACAATGTAAAATAAGGACCAGCCTACGGGGGCTCAGCCATCAAACAAGGCAGGGTGTACCATGGGAATTTCAAGTTAGTATTGCTCTTGTTTTAAGCCTAAGACTTGATAAATCTCTGTTAAAATGAAAAGAAAATAAAGTAATTCCTCTGTTGGTAAAGTGCTTTCTCTAATGTCAGATATTGCAAGTGAGTAACACAGAATAATCCTTCTCAATTTGGACCTCTGTAAGGCTGTGGCAAGAGTTGTAAAAGTGTCTAATTCAGCATTTAATTAACAAATTTAGTGCTACAGTTTAATAGTTGCCTGTATGTGCCTCACTGGTCAAAGAAGTTTGGGAAGCAGTGAAGGAAGGTATATCCCCATGAGAAAGCTGCGCCGCTGGAGTTTGTCAATGCAGTTGGCTTTGCAGATCTGCAGTGGTGGGAAGGGAAGCAGGGCAGAGAGCAGCCAGCTGGCTTTTCCAAATTTGAGTCCCAACCAAAGATCAACAGCTCACTTATCTTGAATGAGTTAATGCTCAAGTTTATACATAGCATTTTATTAAAAATAAAAAAATCAACTATGCAGTATCACTGTGAGGGATTGGGCTGCTGTTTGCACCTAGGAAAACAAAATGCACTTCTGTTGTGTTTAATAGTAATAAGGATTAGAAACATAGTCTGGTTTGCCTTTTTAATGAAAGCCCCACGTGAATGGATAGATGGCTTCCTCAAGCCCTGAGCTTCCACTAAGTTATCCGCTTGGATGCATGTGTACAACTCCTGTTGACAACAGTAGTTGCTACAAGACTCCTGAAAAAGTGGAGATAGTTTTTTCCCTCTATTCTACTTTTTTTAATCTCCAGGTTTACTTTATTCTTACTGCTTCTGCTGCAGAGAGGCCAGGCATAGTTTTAGCAGTGTTTTCTGGCATTGCTAAGATGAGTTAACAGACTTAAAGTTGTTTGTGGAATAGGTTTGTATGGAGGAAACTTCTGAAAGTTTAGACTGCAAGATACAGGTCATATCGCCATTAGTAAAAACAATTATTAGTAGAATCCACTAAAAATACAGAACTAAGTAAAAGGTGAAATAAATTCAAAATTATTCTTCACTCAGGAAAAGCCTGTATTTTTTAGAGTAAAAGTGTAAGCTTGGGGGAAACTTCCCTACCCTGCTTTCCTTATTGCAAACCAACTCATGACCTTTGTGGTTGTACTGCTAACCTTGTGTAATGGATGATGAAAATGTTTTTTAAATATTACAGAGACCTGCCCCTTCTCCCAGCTGAGGGCTGCATCGATTTTAGCATGTGATGTTAGAGTCGGGTTCAGTGAGTTGCTGATAAGGAAGAGCTGAACCAAATGCTACTCTTTCACAGCTGTAACATGACAGTCCTGTTGTAATTAAAATTTTACGGGGATCAGCACAGCTGTCCATGCAAAAACCTGCATGGCAGCCCCTGGAGAATGTGAAACTTTGCATGTGTCTTGAAAGGTGAAAACCATTATTTCCTTTTCTCTCTCTTGAGGCCTTGCTGGGCTTTTCAAGCTCACTGCATCTTTCCTGAGCTAATTCTACACTTAAATTGCTTAGTCTGATTGATATTTGTAACTTTGTTCCCCTTGATTTTAACTGCAATGGTCTAGGTCATATGTGATGTTTGGTATGTGCCTAGATATGGTTCCTGAAGTTATTCTGTTCTAATATTCATATTGAGGTAAATATACAGGGAGATGAAGATTATAGAAATCATATTTAAAACATAGTTCCAAAACTATGGGCCTGTAAGTAACAGAAAATATTTATATGGATATGAAAGAATAGCATATGAGAGTGAGAGACATCCCTGGTCTTTCACCTACCCTTTTCATTTGCATTGTGTAAATTTCAGCCTGGCAGCCTTTTCAGTTTGCATGTGATTTTTGGGTGGTAACTGTATTGTACTACAATTGTTTTTGTATCCTGTCATAATTCTGTCAAGTGGAACTATTCATGATATAGTATTATATTTTGTGTGTGATAAGAGTATATTGAGTGGTGCAGTTAATATAGACCATTATATGCTGCAGGTTTTAAGAACTAAAAGCATCAAAATTTATACAAAAGTACAGTAGAGCTTCATTTGCATGTTACTTATACTTCTGAACTTGGATTAAAGGTATAGTTGGAAGTTAATCTAGTTTTATGGTCTTTAGGTAAGTCCTAGTTCTGGTCTTCAACCTAGAAGACTTTGTATGTATCACATTTTGTTCTTTTGGTCCTGTGTCTTCTCTGCTTTTACATGTGATTTGCATTGTCAATGGTAAAACAAAACCCCTCCACTGTGTGCACAATTTTCTTGATGAGAAAAAGCATCCAAGGAGGGCTGATGATCAGGAACAGGGTGCCAGGGGCAGTATCTCATGCCCTGAGAGCTGAAGTGAAAGACAGTACATATTGACACAGGGTTTTGATTGTGTTTCTTTTTCCCCTCGCTCCCCAGAATGATTGACTAGTTTTGCATCTGATTAAGTTTTCATGCACATCCACAGAACAGTGGGATTCTAAGGATAGAGGTTAACAGTTCAGTAATTATATCATGCTGGTAGGTTGTTGGAGTCCTTGGTGCATCCACAGAGGAACCCTGGCTGTAGCTGGGTGGTTCACTGGAATGTGTGGCAGTGGGGGACTTGGTGTTGCTTTTGGCAAGAAAGGAAGAATACATGTGAGTGTCTTTTCTTGGAAATTAATAATTTGAGGAAAAGGTGGGTACTGAGTTGGTGTAACATGGGGAGAAAAAGCCAATTCCTTCCTGCACTACAGCAGTAACTTTAGGGCACTGAATGTCACTCAGTGGTGCTAAGGAGAGGTACTTAAGGCTGGATGGTGGCTCAGCAGCATTGCTGCTCTGCCTTTTCACTTGGGGGATTGCCAGGCACTCTCTGTCTTGTGCTTTCAAGAAGCCTGGTCAAGGCTGGGCTTCTGGGACATTTCATCTTCCGCAGACTCATGCATCCATTTCTCCTGTCCCTCCCTATTCCAGAGAACAGCCCATCTTCACCACCAGAGCCCATGTCTTCCAAATTGACCCCAGCACGAAGAAGAACTGGGTTCCCGCAAGCAAGCAGGCTGTAACTGTTTCCTACTTCTATGACAGCACGAGAAACAGCTATCGGATTATCAGTGTGGATGGAGCCAAGGTAGGAGGCTGGTGGTACCTCGGCGTGTTTACTGGGTGGAGAGGATCGTGGCTGTCAGCCCTGGCTGAAGGTAGACGTAGATGGGCTACGTTAAGCACTTAAGTTCATGCTCACTTTTTAAATATAATCCATTACGGACATTTGTAGTGATAATTGGAAAAACACAGGGCAACCAGAGAATTATTCTGCCAAACTTAATTGGTTTTATCTCTGACCGGTTAGACTTCCCAAGCTTAGTGAGCCAAGAATTTTAAATGTCCAAATTGAGTCTGTAGTGCAGGATCTGCAACCCCCACCCATTCTAGGTAGATAAGGGTGAGGCCTTTTTGGTGAAAAAAATGTTCTTGCTGAAGGGAATGAGAAGACAGGTATGTGCAGACTAGAGCTTTTAGTGTAAATGCCAACTCTATCTTCTCTTTTGCCTGGTTGAACTGTTTGCAGTTTAGCGCTTAATTTTCTTCAGCTTTCACTCTGGAGTTCATCAGCCTTAGGTGACAAATTAGGCATGAAAGCTTTCCCCCCCTCACTCTTTTTTATTTTGTTTTGCATTACCAAATAATGAAGTATGTCCTGTAAGAATCCAAATCAGTTGGACTGAATAGGTGGTTCAGACAACTGTTTTAATTATATACTAGATTTATCCCTCTGGTTAGTCCCTCCAAAGTAACTTGTGAGATGACTGGTTTCCCCTAGCAAACCTCAGTCAGAGGGGTAAGTTAAAACATTTCACTCATGTACAAAAATTGCCTGTCATTTTTGCCAAAGTACAAACCACAGGGTAATGAGACAAGTTTACAGCTTGTTTGTCTGTGTTCCTGTGTGGATGAGGAAGCTGAAAAATTGCTGTCCTGAGAGAGAGAGATCGCAGAAATCATCCCTTAATAAAGCTTTTCTATTTGTCATGCCTATTTCACATGCTTGTTTTTCCAAACACCTCCTGTGCTATATCTGGTTGTATATTGGCTTATAAATCAGACATACTGCTTGCTTAAATTGATGGTAATGTTTCATTGACATGGGTACAGCATTAATATATCACCATCACTGCGCTGTTTGTGCTGGCGTGTTCATTTCCAGACATGCCAGCGAACTGCCCTGGCTGCCTCGGTTTGCAGCCAGCAAACACCTGCAACTTGCTGGGGAGGGCTGAGCTCCCCAAAATTTACCTACACCCTAATAATCCTGCTTGGACAAATCTGGTGCTGGTGGTAGTGGGCTGTTGGCAAACCCTGGCAAGTGAGATTTCCAAGCCAAAACTGCTGTACTCACAGCAGTGGGTCGCTTGATTTGTGGATGTGCATGCATGCGTTAAGACCAATTAATGAAAAGAAAGTAATTACTGTATGTGGCAGGGACAGTGTACGCCTGCAGGCAGAGGTCCTGCCCAGAACAGCAAAGTGTGTGCTGAGAATGAGATAGGCATCCAGGCTTTGCTTTGTAATCTGCCCAAAAGATGTTCAGAAAGAACCACCCTCTGTTTAACATGTCCCAGAAGAAGGTGAGCTTTCCATGATTAAATTTCTCCCCCAGGGCTTCCTGTGCAAGAATCAATTGCTGGCCACATTAATTTTTTATTGAACCTTTGCTGATTAAGGAACAGGTTGAGAAGAGATACTGTGTTCACACTCACCTCTGTAGAGTTCCCAGTTACCCTGCCTGTCTGTTTTAAGAGTGATGGTTTGGAAAAATAAGAGTGTTTATACCTAAATAAGTTAAAAGATGCTTTCCCTCCTCGAACAACTATTGTTTAGTGTTTTGACCTACTTTTCTATCCAAAAATGAAACTGGATAGGACTATGAGGAAGAATATAAACAGCATGGGCTGCTGTTGACCTCCTTTCTGTACATCTCACTTATTAGAATAAAGTCCTCCATGTGTTGGCAAATACCAGATGGATTAGCATCAAGGTATCACTGCTGACAAAAGTTATCTCTGTTATAAAGACAAAAAAGCTGAATCTCAAAGTAAGGGACTTGACCCTACAGGGAAGGTGGTGATGAAGGATATGTATCTCTTACAAGACTCTATCCTTGTCTGAAATGCAAAGGGGCTGTTCTAACCCTTTATTTTAGACAAACATTTATGATGCACATTGGCTTGCGGAGAAATACCTCTTTAATCCAACTTGCATGTGGGATTAATTCTGGGAGTTTTTTACCTTATGTTGATGTAACGTAGTAGCATTAAAAATATTTTTTCAAATGTAGAGCATTTCACTTAAACATTGTTTGTTACCCAGTTGCACAAGCTTTACTGTACTTCTGGCATTCTCTGTATCACTCTGGGTGGTGTGTTGAACTGCAAGTGTGTGGAGCAGTGTAGGGCTGCTGAAACCCATCAGCCCTGCTGCTGTGCAGAACACCTGAGGAGCATCCATTTCCTACTCACACACCAGCACCCCATGGGCTGTAACTCTGCAGGAGTGGCTTCCACAGGCAGCTTGCTGCTATCACTGAAGGTCTGGACCCTCCGCAGTCCCCTGACCTTCAGCCCCATCCTCTCTTCTCCCAGCAGGCACAGCCTGTCCCCTTCCCCTTCCTGTCCCTTGTTCCCAAATTCCCAGGGCACAGAAGGTGCTGCAGGGCAAAGGGGAACAGGAAGATTTAGGAGTGGCTGGAGACCCTAGATTTGAAACAGATTGTGCTGCTTTAATTTCTTGTGTTTGCAAAGCTAGAAAAGAATGGGTGTTACAATTTCTGGGTCTTTCACAGAAAAACAGATGCTGTGTACAGTAGCTTACAAGTTATAGCAGAAGATTTCAGAGATACCACACAAGTGTGGACTGGATGATCTTAACCAAGATACTATTACCAAACAAGGGAATAGATTAGTATATCTCTTAATTACATTATAATTTACTGTATGTTGTTGAAAAAGTAATTTTGTCGTGATGTTTTAAGAAGTTTCTAGCCAGAGGCTGTTTAAACTGCAGCATGATGAGTGCTGGAGGAAATGATACAGTAAAATGCCAGGGCACACGCTGATTTGGAGTTAATGAGGCAGCCAAGAGACTTCACCATATGAAAGTGCCCAGTATTTTGGGCAAAAGTCAACCCTGTTGTAAAATGAAAAAATATAGTTATATTGCAGGGAGAGCATGAACTGATATATGCCCAGTTTCTGTGTAGTGTGTGGGAAAAGCCACACACAGGGATCCTCATTAGACGTGACCTACATTGTTTTGCCTTTTAGAGGTGAAAAGAAAGTTCGAAAGCATAAAATTTACTCAGAGTGATATCCTCTGTTATCCTGTGGAATAAGGGATGGTCATGCCCTATTTGGTGGGTCTGTGTATTTTTTTAATAAATTGTAAATACCTGCTCTCCAAACAGTATAGACAAGGGGGGAAAGATCAGAAACTTGTTTCTGCATAGAATTTGAGAAGGAAATAAAACCCCTCAAACAAGCTTCTTGTCCTCATTTTCAAATGTTCAGATGTTACATTTCTATAGAACCTGTGATTGCAACAGCAGTGTTTTTTGTCTTTTGAGAAATATAAAACTGTCTTAAAAATTAATAGTCAGCAACAAAGTGTATAGGGAGATGTTCTGAGACAGCAGCAGCAAAGTGACACAGCAAAAGTCCTCTCAGATGCCAGTCTTCAGTTGTCTCTGTGAGATGCTTAAACAGATGGCTAGAAAAAATTAAGGTTTGGATTAAAAAGATAAATAAGAGTAATTTTGGTAATACATGGTACAGAAACAAAGACTTTGTGTTTCAGGGAGAAAAAAAAATAGTTGGCTGACACTCATTCCCAGTTGCTAGATCATTTAAAAGAGTTTATTACCTGCCAGTTACTTTGAATATTGAAGATCAACAGCTGAGTGTAAACATGTGAAATTACTGAAGGGTCAACCAGAAAAAAAGCTGTGCTGGGAAAGCAAAATCAGTAGGTCTGTTTCTGAAGTAAATTGCAACTAGGAAGAATATGGGCCAAATTTTGCCAGTCAGTACTCACATGATGTTCCCCAAAGTGAATACAGTTAATTACATAGTATGATGAAGCTGTTTGATTAAGGGACATGTATGGCCTTATGATGTGACCTGTCAGTGAGTGTCACAGCAAGAATGGACAGTGTGATTTGCAGAGCAGAAAGAAGCTGGCAGGGACAGAGCCCCTGCAGTGTGTGGGAGCAGATATTTAGGGAGGTAAGAAGGGGTGATATGTAAATCTGCTACTATTTGATTTATTTCTGGCTTTCTCAGTTCCTGTAACAGTCCTAATTGCTACCTAATTTAATAGCTGCCCACCTCTTTCTGACCATGCTTTTTTTGTTCGCGCTATTTGAGGCAGGCGTCCTCAGCACACAGGGAGGAAATTCAGAGATCTTGCAGTGCTGTGCCCAGAGACGCAAAACAAATCATTTTCTTTGCCCATGGAAATGGAATTATTTTAAGACAGGGTTGGTAAAAATATCCTGAAGGATTTTATCAAAAGGCAACTCTTAGATTTAAGAAGCTTCCCTTTCACAGGAGAAGAAATTGCAGGGTATGGCAGCACGGATGAAATTCCTTCATCTGGCTAGTTCTATGTGTTCTTTTTTTTCTTTTCTTTCATTGACGTAAATTAAGCCATTAAACCAGTGGCAACCCTTTCTTAGGAAAAACCTACTAAGTAATTTAGATACTGCACAATTTTTGGCACTGAACTAAAAAAGGCTTCTGGCAATGCATATCTCGCCAGGGGCCTGCGTTGGTGTGGCAGCATTTAACTGTGCCTCTAAGACCTCATGGATCTGACTTGGAATAATGTGTAGCAGAAGCCATCACAATACAACATTGCCTTCCCTCTTGACGTCCAGAGTATCCATGTGCCTTCACCTGACCCCATGCTTCATGAATTAGGTGGGTAGCCAAGGATAATGGGATGTAACAGTACATGAAAACTGACCTTACAAAGTGGCGTGATGCCATTTCTTTTAATGTACACAGAGAAATCCTGAATTGCATGCTTATGATTTCAAAAGGTGTGAGTAAGCACATATCTGTGTTGTGTCAG